AGGCACACCTACACTAGGCAACACGGGGTAGTAAGAACCAATCACACTAGAGTCATCAGCATACAGCACATACAGGGCAGAGCCAAGCTCATCCATGTCCATATCAAAAATCGGAATACTACGGCGAAGCAAGCTGAACCATTCGAGGAGGTCGGGTGACGGGCCGAAGCGAAGACGAAACAAGTCGTCAAGGCGACGGAAGCAGCGAACAGGGGAGTGACCGGTCTTACCGCAAACGGAGCCGCGGCGAGGACCGGTCAGGAGCTGGTATTGGCAGCGCTCATCACCCGAACTGCCACCCGGGAGCACACCACGCGCACGTCCACCACCACGTCCACCGCCGCCTCCAACGCCAGGCCACCCGGACGGGAGACCACTCGCCCGCCTCTGCTGCTGCGGCTGCTGCGACTGCTGCGGCTGGAGCTGGGGCTGCGGCTGCGGGTGGTGCTGGTCCGGCTGCGGGTGGTGCTTGGCCGGCTGCGATGGCTGCGGCTGCTGGGATGGCTGCTCGGTGACACCAGGGAAAGTCCCCTCGTCTGCACCACCACCAGGAGCCCCGACTCCACTACCACCTCCACCTGCACCCCCACCCCCTCCGCCGCGCCCAGCCTTGGGGCGTCGACCCTTCCCCCGACGGAACTGCGCTGCAGCAGCAGTCTCAGCCACAGAAGCAGAACCGTCGGAGAAGGTGCACTGGGCAGGGGCACAACCCTGAAAGATGGGGACCGGCACAGTACCGCTAGTCTGGGCGATAGAGCGGTGGCAGGTCTCTATGGCAGACAGGGTGTCGACAAAGTCGGTGAGGGTGAGGTCACCGGGGTGGACGCTAAGGAAGCGGTCGCGGGCAGTGGCAAGACGGTCAGGGAGGCGGGTGGCTAGCAGGTAAAGGGCAGAGCACAGGGGCGGCTGATGGGCTCTAAGCTGGGTCTCAGTGCAGGCAGAGCACCAGGTCGCGTCTAACGTGCGTAGGTGGGCGGCAAGGTCAGCGAGAGTGAGGAAAGACGCAAGGTCAGGGAAAAGCATCGGCAGGATCAGGCGAACTACGGAGGTAGCAGGCGAGGTGGAATAGCGCTGGACAACAGCATCTAGGAATGCCTGCGCAGTCGTGACGGGCTTAAAGCGAGGGCGCTCAGAGAGTGGGAGGGCATGGCTGATAGCAAGCTGCGCAACAGCGTCACGCGTTAGCCAGACAGAGCGAGCAAGGGCAGCAGCGGCAGCGGTGGTTGGGCGATGGGGCTGCGGATGCATCTTGAAGCTACGTGGAGGCTGCAAGAAGGTGGTCTTGCACGATAGTGACGTAGAGCTCCTTTGCACTGTCGCCGCGCCATCGGCCTAGACGCTTGAAAAGCCAGTCATGTATCCCCATGCTGGCCGCTGCGGTCGCGACGCCCTTGCAGAAAGAGTGGGTGCCGAGATTGGTGGGTTCGAGGCCTGCTGCGGCAAAGGCTTACAGACACCAGTTTCGAATGGTGGTGTATGAAGGTGCGGCGTCTTCATTCACCTTACCTCTGGTCCCAAAGACGCGAATCAGAGGCCCGTATGGGGTGGCGGTGTGGCCTGTAAGGTGAATGAAGCGCCGCGTGCAGCTGACGGGGCAATAGGGTTCGGTCGTGGCGGTGATGGGGATCCAGGTGCCTTTACTTTCTTAATCCGTCTTGGAGTGAGGGATCAGGACCCACATTGCCTCGTCCTCAAATTGTATGTCATTCCACTGGATGCTGACGAGATCCGAGTAGTGTAGGAATGCTGCGAACATGAGCAGCGGAACGAGTCCCTTTTGGTATGTGGCTGGGTTAGTTGATTTGAGGAAGGGACGGGCCATAGTATGGACTTGGTGGAGCGACAAGGGTTCCTCATTCCTCGTGGGGCGTGCCACATGGCGTTTGGCAAATTCGCATACTTGTACCGTGAAAGGGTTGTTCGTGGGAGAGGGTTCGCCAGTCATCCGGTGTGCAAAAGAGACGGCAGAGGATGTGAGGGATATGGCAGAGACGGTCGCTTGATGATTGAGCGTGCAAACAAGATAGAGCGCCAGGGTCGTGTTCGTGGCTGGCAGATAGCCGACCTTGAATTGCGTGCAGAATGAGCGAGATTTCTGCCAGTACGGGTCATAGGTCTTGCTAATGGAGGGCACCCGGACATGAGTGGTTATGCGAAGTAATTGTGTCTTTAACTTCCACAGCATGCCTGAAAAGATACACCATACATGGAGGAGTTACTGTATATCTTGTAGGTTACATGCAAGGCAATAATCTGGCTATGAGGCATGCCTTGGCTGGCGAAAGCGAGCGAGTGTGTGCCAGGGAGAAGACATTGGGTGCCATGGGTGAGTGGGATATGGGCGACTATCTCCAGCACCCATACACGGGGTGCTATCTGGAGGAGTGGCCACCATGAAGCGCCGGGCCATTCGGGGATGACCAATGTTAGCTCAGCACGTGTGCGTTGGGCGTGTAGCAGGGTGGCTGGAATGAGGTAGGGCAAGGGAAATGCCAAGCCATGCTCGTGCTTCCAATTGAGTGAGAAAGCGTCAATCGTTGTTGCCTCAGGATGGGGGATCTTGGAACAGAATCGCTGCAGCTGGGCATTGCGTACGTTGGCAAAAAGATCGATGGAGTGAGGTCCAAATCAACGATCCAAGAGCCGGAACCAGGGGGTTTGAAGTGAGTAGTCGACGTAGTCTTAGACTTTCGAGAGCTCATCTGCGTCGGCATTCAATTCTGTTAGAATCCATTCGACAGCGAATCGTGTCCAGTTCTCCAAGCACAGTCTGATGATCGATTGACATAGCAGCATGTGTGAGGGGTGGCGTGAGCCGCCCTTGCGAATAATGAACACCACCCCTTGGTTGTCGACACGAACTAGCACGTGCCGCTTGACGAGGTGGGCGGTGAATGTCCAGAGTGCCCAAAGGACGCCTTCGAGTTCCCTGCGAGTGCTGGAGGTGGGCACGACCTCTTCTGGCATGCGATCGCTAGCCTCGATGTGCGTGCCATGGAGTTGAGTGAGGGTGGCACCCCAGCTGTGGGCACTTGCATCAACGTGGATGACCGCGTCGTATTGGTGACTGAGATGGAATGGGGCGCCATTGAATTGGTCGAACTGCGAAAGCCAGAAGCGTAGCTCTGTTAATGCGGCCGGAGGTAGTTGGGCTTTATCATGCCAAGACGTGGCATCGGCGATGAGTCGCAGGAGCTCATGAATGAAGGCTCGTGCTGTAGCGCCCAATGCTAGGGTCATGGAGGCCAACATGCCGGTGACTCGCGCAAGGGAGCGGATGGGGACTCGTCGTCCTGCTTGGCCCTGGTTGATGATGTCGGTGAGTGTATCTAGGAGCTGAGCTCGTTGTTCATGACCGATGGAGATGTGTCGCGAGCTGCGTTGACCTCCAGGCTGAGAAAGTGG